AAATCTAAAAAAATCGGTACCGTTTTCAACCCATAACGAAGAAACCTTTCGAGCCGAAAACTCATATAAATAAAGGTGTTTAGGTGCTATAATACCTCGTTGAAATTTTGGAAACGTCATGTGAAAACCGAGAATAACACTTGATGTACAGTCTCAAGAGAATGGCCCATTTGAGGACGTCGCACGGTCGGATATTAAGAACGTGGTAATAACAAAACGTTCAAACACACTTGATAATAGGCTAAAGATACGTTCTAGTCTTGGTGCAATATGTTGCAGCTTTTGTTCGTTTGAAACTTGAAAGACAGGTTTCACCTTGAGACGAAACTTTAAGGTAAAAAGAAGTGTTTCTTCAAATAAGCGCTCCGCTTCGAATTAGCGCCTTCCACCACTTCGCCTCAAGAAGTAAAATAAGCACCCCGCGGGGCGCTTAATTAATCTTTCTAGTATCATATTGATTTGATATAATTCGAGACTACTTTTAAGTTCCAAGTGTCTACAATGGCAGAATTACAAAAATAGTCCAAAAAATACGCACCTTTAAAATGAGGCCCAACGGTGTAAAGCTCTTCTTGGGAAAATGCGTTTTACATAAGATAAAAAAATGATTTTTAATATCAACCGACTTCACATTTAGCCTCGTTCTAAAAGAGAGGCTTGGATCAAGACGAAAGTGGCACCCTTTGTTCGCTCGGGGTATTTAAAAAACGTATATCCATGTCTCTTTTTCCGTTTCATTGCGAAGAAAATTTTCTTAGAAAAGGGTTTCGCTGAGAACACAAAGTAATAACGAGTAAAGAGAGTTCAGGAGTAATTTCAACAGACGGGATCCTCGGTTTTATAAAGGAAAACCATTTTCAAAACTGCGAAGACGTGGAAAAACGGACATAATTCAGTGTGCGTGTTCTTGTTTTTTGCCGAACAACTCGCGGCTAAAAGTTTTACTTAATCAACGACCAGCTGTCTTATAAACCCCCTTAGAAATGTTTTAATCACAAATAATGCATTAAACATTTTGTATTTAGGAAATTGACCACATGTAGCGAATTGCGAAAAGTGTCTTCCTCGATATGCAAATTTACACCATTTACTAGCAAATGCCAGACATGGTACATTAATATAGCTAAAACTTTTAACAAAAAAGAATGGTCATATTTTTTCTAAGTACATCGTGCGGGCCGCCAAATGCAATTTGAACTCGGCGTGAGTTTGATATACAGTCAAATTATCCTGATGATTCTTTATGATGGTGGAAGGGCATTGGTTATTGATAAAAAAAACGTATCCGACCACTGTGTTGCTTAGAAGGAAAACATTAATTATTCGATGTATTTAACGGCTAAGGAAGGTTTTAAACACATTAAAGACTCAGTCTGTAGTGGTAATAATATAAATTTTAAGGTAATATTAGAATTTCAGAATTTATTTTTCTAAAGCAGCTGTTTTCTAACCAGAAAGAAAAAGAACCATGTCTATATATTTTCAGTTTGACAGCAAAAAATAGTCAACCGACGAAGACAAAATTCGATTATTTTATGCCATAACATCAAATTGATTTTTTATGAATACCCTCGCCTGGTGTGTCATGTAAATAGTGTGTGTACTTGAAGTCTTTATTTTATTCTCTCGTGAAAGACAAAAGCAAACAGAACTTTGCTGATCAATTCCACTAAATTAACATATTTCACCATGGATATCACGCCAGGTGATGGCTTTGGTCGCAGTATATTATCTAAGGTTCCCGATCCCCAAGCATTGTTTCCTCTCCCCGGTGGATCATTGTTGAAATTTCACCGATTTTTTTTTTGTTCCATCGCCTCAGGTATGCCTCAGCGGTGAATTTGACTCAGTCACTGTTGTCTTAAATTGACTGAAGAATTTTCTGATCGAGATTCGTAGTCATGTCTAAAGAGAGTTACTTAATGATGATAGTCTTTGTTGGCTGTTTGGCCGCTGTTGTCTACAAACAACACGAAGGAATCGACATCAAATCGCTCTGGGGAAGGTTGCTTCAAAGACTGGTAGCAATACACGGCGAAATACCCTGTCAAGAAGGAAGCGAAGACGATTATTGTGTGAAATCAAATTTCGAGGAAGTTTCGAAAGATGAACCATCGACTAATGCTCAGGATATAAATTCAAAACATAGTGATGAAAGTAAAGTTTTCTTTGAGTCAGATGCAACAGCAACTTTCACAAAAGAACAGCCAAATACAAGGCAAAATGGAAACATTGTTTCAGAAGAAAAGAAAACGTCAAACAATAATGAAAACAACACTAAGTGGGGCCATATGAAAAAACTGGGCGAGCATGGCTCAGTTATCATTGAGGGAGAAATTGAAGAACTTAGTTTTGTTCCTAATGGCAAAGATTTCTATGAACACTTTCTACGAAAACGAAGGCCTTTGATTATGCGAGAAGCTATAAAGAACTGGCCCGCGGTGAAACATTGGGCAAACGAAAGTTATCTACAAGCAAAATACGGCGATGTCATCTTCGATATTCAGCTAACTAAAAAATATGAAGGAGAATTCCCCGCAAAGAGAACTATGAATCTCACCGAATTTCTTCGAATTTACAAAAGCAAACAGGTCTATTTAGATTGCCCGTTTCCCCACAGTGATATGATCCAGGATATATTTGTACCATATTGTTTGCAGTGCGAAGAAATCATGGAAAGTATTGCCAGTACGCATTTGCTTTTTAGCAGCGGAAATACAAGCTCCAGCTGCCATATGGATGGTTATGAAAATCTGTTAAGTGTTATCGCGGGGAAAAAGGAAGTTTTGGTGGCAGATCCGAAGTTTGTGGAATATTTTTATCCACGCAACCACACGACTGTCAATATTGAATCACCGATCGACCCTGAAGCAGTTGATTTGAAGAAGTTTCCTAAACTTGCTGAAATTCCCTTCCACAAGGTAAGCCGATGAAGAGTCAAACTACGTTTTTTTTGACAATCATAAATATTTTAGCAACCTACGGAAAATAGAGTTACTATTATTTCTGAGGGTACACAAGAGAAGTAAAAACAGTGGTAATAAATATATAACCAGCAGGGTTCAATGCAATTTAATTTGTGCGGCTGTGACTGTAACGTTACGTTTATCTCCGCTGTCGTGACCATTTATTAAGACCATTTATTAATTTTTCGCTGCTTCTCGGTACTACATGCAGTTATGCGCGTTTGCATTCTATATTTCTTACAAGTCAATACATGTAAATATTAACAAAGGAGGAATCTTCTCTCTTTCCCTTCATTAGCAAAGATAATTAAGTATAATGCTTGGTAACCATGGACAACGTTTTGTTCTATTGATACTGTCTATTTAATAAATGTAGAATAATCGTAAACCGTAACATAAAACCGTTATAGTTTCAAATTGGAAAGTTGAAGCTGGTGTTATAATTTGTATTGGTTACAAATAATCTCAAGATTATACTCATTCTCTCTTGATTATAACAATAGGAACTTGACAACAAATGTGTAACAGAGTAACCACAATAGACAACTCCGTGTACTAGGACAGTCCTGATCGTGCTCGGCAACTTTTGATCAACTTTTGGCGTTTGAGCACTTTTTGCCGTCCTACTAGCAACCTTGAGCAAGTTTTGCATTTCTGAGAAAATTGTCTTTTTTTTTTTGGAAAAATACAGGTTTAGGAGACATATCAAGCTCGAAAAAGTCAACCATTTCGTAGAAACTACAGTTTATGCGAATTTCATTTCATAAGAGGCCTCAAACGCAGTCAAAAAATCGCTCAATTATAGAGAAAATGAACAATCATACAATGTCGCAAAAATCTCTCTTTTATTATGAATAAATTAGCTAAGTAGGCTAAGTAAGCTTGGGTATGCTAAGTTTCAAGCTGTTCTCTTGACCGATGTTAGTATATCATGGTGAAGAACGAAAAAATAAAGCTTTTAGTTAACGTTTGGGTAAAAATAGCAAGAATTATAGATAGAAACGTTTTGGATTTTTGGCAATTTTTTAGCAACTTTTTGGCATTCCAGTAACTAACTTTCCAGCATTTTTCGAACACAATCGGTACAGGCCTAATCCTGGCGTATGATATTGCAGGCCTTCTCCGGGGCCCATGCATGGGACAAAGGGTGCGTGGAGGAAAAACTGTAATATGTAGTAAAATTAAAACCAGGGCACCTGACTGAGCAGCCCTAAGGATTAATTGCGGTATTGACCCAATCCTAAACAAGTAACTACACGTTCACCGGAAAAAAAGCTAATTACTATACTGTAATTTCAAACCCTATAAATCATTCGCAGTGCCTCACCCTATCTCCTGTCTATTAGGTATGAACAATGATCTAGACTCATTAGCGAAAGGACACTGAATTCAAAATTTGTGTTTTGAACTAAAGTATTTTAATATAGGCCGGATCACAAATTCTACACGAAGGTTTTGTTGTTGTGGTTTGTTTAGTTAATTAAAGCTGGCGCGAGAAAAAAGGAAAGAAGCGTCAGTAGACTTCATTTGGAAAAGATTTTTAAGTCCGCCTCCTCTACGCCAACGTCTCGATCACCTTCGCCTTCACGTCCTTCACCATACCAATTATTGGACCAGAGATATTGAAGAAATACTATACAGATGCTCTCACTTCTTAAAAAATCCATACTGTAGTCGGCGCCAAATTAGGGTTGATATCCACTCAGACTATTTCAAATCTGAAAGCCGAGCCAGTGGAAAAAGGTCGAAAGCTAAAACAAACTGATCGATCCATTTATTTTTGGCTTCTCTATCCACCCGTTTCGGTAATCAATGTACGTAGGGGTAGACCACATTATTGGTAAAACGCTAACAAGAGCATCAACACACTAATGCAAACCATCAGCTAAAGCTATGCCCATGAACTTTCACTTTGTTACGTTTGTAATGGAAGTAAACCACTGATGTAAGGTCACGTTTCATTTCAAAGCACACCGTTTTCTACAGACTGATTAGCCAGTTTTCACGAATGTCCAGTTTTTACTTCCATTCGAACCCTCAAAAATTGATCCCAAACTGTCTCGATAAAGCTTTCAAAGCATTTGTTCAAAACTTCACTAACTTCAGAACGGCTATTGGAGGAACAGGTTTTTGTGAACGATTTTGGAAGAAAATCCCAGTGCAATGAAAAAAGATCAGACCTTAAAAAAATAAAATAGGCCACGATTTCATTAGGTTAGTTTAGGTTGCTATGACAGCTCCGATGTCAATATCTCATTTGTCATGACATATTCGTTCATCTTCTGAAACAGTTATTGTAGTAAAATTTTCCGTCGCTTCTCTTGACATTCTTGAGCATTCAATAAATGTAAACAAAAGGGGACTCCCCTCTTAAGTAAACAATGAGCGTGAAAGTATTAACCGTAACTATGAGTCATGTTCTATTACAAATGTATAAATAAAGATTTTTTTCAATTCTTGATCAATTAATTGATTTGGATAAACAATGAATTGGACTGCGCGCTATAAAGCAATTAATTATAAGCTTCATTCTCATTCCCAGTTTTCCAGACGCGCTCTCGGCATCAGGCCACCGCAATATCTCTTAGAACGCCTGGAGCATTTTGAATTCTTTGTCTCTGGATTGTTTTTTTTCGTGCGATCTCCTGTCTCAGCTGTGTCTCCGCTCCCAGCATAACGTAATCAAAGAGGATCGCTCACCCGCATTATTTGGAAACACAGGTTTCTTTACTTGGGATTGGTCGTCAAGTACTTTCCAAGGAGATTATTTGGTTGCAAAAGTATTCCTAGTCGATAAAACAACGATCGACCGCTAATTAAAGACAGGTGACAAATACGGAAAATGAGCGCGGCAATCGTTTATTAGACTAGACAATCTTTTAATTTATTTTCATATTTTGCTGAACAAGTTCGGTATAATATTAGAGTTGTCCAACTGTAATCCCCACACACCCTTTTTTCGTGGCAGATTTGGCTAACGCTGTAGTCTGCCAAAATGTCAAAAGTAATTTTTACAGTTTTTGCTCTGGCGGTGTTGTTGTCGATGGATGTGTTAATCATACCACACAGGATGGTAGGTGCTCATGAGGATGTTGTGCCTTTACCAAGCGAAAACGCGCCAGACAAGAGCACCTTCGAAGGAACATCCGTTATCATTAAAGATGGTGATGACAATGAGAGAAAACTGGAGGAGAAAATACTCTTTGATGACGCATCTTCTAAAGAAGAAACTGTTTTTGAAGCAATGTATGAACTTAAAGGTCATCTGATGAAGCTGGGAGAGCAAAGCCCAGTTATCCTTGGTGAGGTAGAGGATATGACTTATGTTCCAAGTGGGAGGGATTTTTACAGCCACTTCATAAAAAAGAGGAGGCCACTTGTGATGCGAGGTGCTGCTGCTGATTGGTCTGCTGTGAAATATTGGGCCAATGAAACATACATGAGGGAGCGATATGGCCATGTGGTCTTCGATGTAGAGTTTACAAAGCATTATGAGAGAATACCTCCCATGAAAAGAACAATGAACCTAAGCACATTCTTAGATATTTTCAAAACCAAGCAAGTTTATTTGGACTGCCCTTTTCCACAATCTGACATGACAAGCGATATAATGGTGCCTTATTGTCTTCAGTGCGAGGAGATAATGCCAAATATACAGAGTATTCACCTACTTTATAGCAGTGGTAACACAAGCTCTGCTCTGCACCATGATGGCTACCACAATCTGCTCACTATCATTTCTGGGACAAAAGAAGTTCTCGTAGCGAGTAGCGACAGTGCAGAAAAATTGTATGCTAATAATTATACAACTGTTCCTGGTTTGTCACCGGTCAATCCTGAGTCAGTAGATCTTAAAAAATTTCCCAACGTTTCCAAAGTTGCTTTTCATAAGGTGAGAAAAGCAATTTTCTTTTGTATTTCGTATCACATTGCACAACAAAATGATAGGGTAACGAGAGACTCATTAGTCTTTCATGGGTCAGTTCTTTGGAATGGAGTTGATAAAAATGACAAAATAACCAAATAAATTGTAATGGAATAAAAGCATGACTTACTGCCCAAGAGTATTTTATAAATTTACTGTACATGAATATGTATTTCATTTTTGAAAGTTCAACTGCCTTGACTTTCTGATAAAGAAGAAGTGACTCTATGCATTTCTTAGTAGATCACAGGGCATTGGATATTACTGGCATGTGTAAAGAAAAAAATTGGGGAAAGGAAGATACAACCAGACCATACAGAGATAAAACAATAGAAAATTTTCTTCCCAAAAGCAAACATGAATCATTTATAGAAATTGATATTTATAGATCAAAGCTTTTTGTTTATTTGAACTACATGAAATATTTTATAGTATATAATTATTGTAATATAATGTAGCTGACGTGGCTCAATTTTATCCTTTGTTTGAATTTTATTTCCCTTTGTTTTAAACTCATTATCATACATTACCATACCTAAGAGCAAAGGGAAATAAAATTTAAACCAAGTATAAAATTGAACGACAACATAGCCATGCGTGTATGACCACTACAACCTATTATTTGATTGCATGTGGTCATTTTATGCGTGATGGGATTATAACTGCATTAATTTTTCTCCTCAGGTATGACTTTCTGAAGTAAAAACAATCATGTGGTAGTCAGAGATAACTTTTTGGATTTCTTTAAATTTTAGGTTGTTTTGAATGCAGGTGACATTTTATACATCCCACAGCACTGGTGGCATCATGTTCGATCATTTGATTGTCCAAACATTGCAATCTCCCTGTGGTTTCATCCTTTTAAACAGACAGAAGATGATGATGAGCTTTTATCAGGCGAGGAAGAAGACGTAAGAAAAAGGATATTGTACCAACTTACTATTTACTTGCCTTATATTTGTGTCACCCCATGTAAAACCTGGTTCTCATATGCCACCGAGCTACCTGCCAGAACTGCCTGGGACACCTTTCCAATATGAGAGCAGAAGACGCCAGCAACAGAGGCCATGTCAGTCTTTACCGCCAGCACACAGGCAAAGTTGTCTCAAGTTCCACTTCTCAGGTACTTCGGCGGCATATGAAAACCAGGCTTAAAGTAATCCAGATTGTGGAAATCCGGAAATGTTTGCCTGTGGATTCCGGAATCTTGGTAATTTTTGCTTGTGGAATCTGGAATCCTGGGCTTTGGAATCCAGAATTAAGCTAAAGGAATCCAGAATCCTGGTCATGATTGGAATTCAGAATCCATGTTCCACTGACAAAGAATCCAGAATCCAGTACCTGGAATCCAGAATCCAAGACTATCGTGGATTTCCATATATGGGGCGCTTTGTGGGGTTTTGTGCGCATTGATGTAAACAGTTAAGCTAAGACCTTTTTCTAGACACTGTAGCAACTACTTTAAGTAGTTTACCTGGAAAAATCTTGTCTACATGACAACTTGTTCACCTAAAAAAACATTGTTAATATTATTGTCTTAGTATATCAAATTTTCCCTTCGTTAGTGTACTATGTATCATTTATTTGTGGATTTAGATTTTAAAAAAGTGTCTAACCTTATTACATGTAAACTATCATAGATACTAATAGACTGATACTAAGCAATTAAACATGTATCCTGATACCTATAGATACCCTTCTTGACAGATCTGTACTTAGCTTAGCATTCATTTCTTGGTTTTTCATGCTGCTAATCCGGGGCACCCAACAACTGTTTTCTGTAAAATATCTGTTCGGAGAAGGAAATGTTGCCAAGAATTTTCCATTGCTCCAGGACGGCTACAAATTTCATGTACAATTTTTGAAACTTGTCTAATAAATTCCCTACGATTAATTCTGAAGCTTTATTTTTCACATTTTACTCTCCAAGTAATGCTTGTTTTGTAGAAAAAAGAAACGTAAAATTTTGATTGAGACAGGAATCAGAAAAATTCCACATTCATATATGGTAAAATGATATACTGCATCTAAAATGTTTCGGAAAAATAATACTGAAGTCCTTGTAATTTCAGAAAGACGCACCCTTCCCTAGGATGTCCAAACTGATACAAATTTTAAAGCGTCGCTTAGAATGTATTTCTATAGATTGAAAACTACACTAGATAGCCTAAAAAAGGTTTTCAACTGATTTAGGAGGAAATCGTCATTGGGTGCCCGCCCCTGGCTAATGTGGTAAAAGGATTGGAAATTTCTTTAGTGACAATCATAGTTAATGTCCATTTTTTTTTATCAGACAAGTGACTTTGAAGATGTAGTGTACACCTCAAAATTGTTTGACAAAGTTGTTGAAACATATCCAGACACAATCAAGTGCCACTCACAGAACAAGCCAATCACCGAGGCCTTTCGTCCACATTCGGATGCCTTGGATACACCTGAGGAACCCATACATGAAGGCCTTTTTGTTACTCTGTCCAGTGGATACAAGAGTAAGGAAGTACTCTATAACTTATATGCATTTTGTGAAGATTTTTATTTCTTAGCTGAATACTTGTCATTGTGGATAGTAGAGCATTTTCAATTTTTGTTATAAGTACAAAGTTTTTCAAAAGGCCATCAAAAATATTTGATGAAAAAAAGTTCAATAGAAAAAAATATCCAGCTACAGTGTGGCTCCCTGTTTGTGCCATCCTTCAACAAAATTCCCCAAAAGTCCTCTGAAAAATCTGTGAGCAATCTCTATTTCGGAAATATTGTGGAAAGTCACCCATCAGCACCACTTTTGTGTTCTGTCAGGGCTCATGGCTCCCTTCTCTCGCCACTGAAAATAAAGAGCTTGCTTGCATGCTATCCTCTGAAGAGGTTATCCAAGCAGGGTTGTCACTAAGATTGAAGTTGCCAGGTACATATAACAAGTAGGCAGGGAATCAAACAGCTAGGGATTTCTTTTGGTTCCATTTTTCATTTATTTTTCAATGAAAGTAGCTGGGGGCTACATTCATAGTAGCTGGGGGAAATTCCCGCTAAGATCACAGTTTTTTTCTATTCCATGATTTTTTCTATTTCGCTAACTAAGGGCTTACACTAAAACAAAGACAAATGATTTAATTTTTTGAAACGAAAAGCTTCTTGTTTACAAGATCATCACCATTTTACAAATAGAAGTGATTATAAAGTAAGACACAACCTCACACACATTGAGACAAACTTAAAAACAAAAAAGCAGGCCGCCTTTTTTCAAGTTTACCTCAGTGTAATACGTTTTAATCTTCTACAGTTTGGCCCATATATGTTCGTTACTGTTCTTGAGCTGTATTTCTTTTGTGTTCCTCTAAATAATTTTGCCAAAGTTATTTCAATCAGGAGCCTCCTGTTTTAATATATCAGTGATTTTTGTGATCGTTTGGTGGGTCTTGAAGTTGCCTAAAATAGCGTGGTGACTTAAAGTGTGGCGCCTAGAACACTCGCAAACGCAAACTGAACCCAATAAGTTTTCAAAGAATTACATCTGCTAAGTTAACACTGAATAAAACGCTGTCTTTTTGCCTTGTTTCCCTCCACAGTGCCTAAGCTTGGTTTTGGTACAGCTGGTTTGTTTGAAGACACTAAGTCATCTGTTTTGTCAGCGTTAAATACTGGATACAGGTATTTTTTGTTGATAGTTAATTCCATCATATTATTTACCAATGTCTGGCCCAATGATATTTGCGATGTAGTAGTTGAGAAAAAAATAAATTAAATAGTTTACGAAGAAGTATCAAACTGGACCTCTGGCATTTAACTAAAAGATTAAACGCACGCATGAGAAACAATCCCGCGAAAGCGCGTGCGAACCCACCTTCGTGGCTTCGCCTGCTCTCTCGCGCTTCCCTCCACTGCCCCTCCCCAACAGAAAGCGCTAGCTACACAGGTTACTTTTTGAGGTCTGAAATCAACCCCTCCCCCCCTTCCGCCCAGCCTTCCTAGAGTTCTGAGTTAAGTACCGCTGAAAGCTGTTTTGGTGAGTGCCAGGTTCTAATCATTCAAAGCATTAAATGTTATAGAGGACAAATACGACTTAAAAGATTATGTAATCTTGTGTAAATATACAAAATTGATACATAAATAAAATGAAAAATCAACGAGCTAGACAGCGACACTATTACTTTCCCAATTCTACCACTGGGATTACCTTAAGTCGCAAGATTCTCGCAAAACACCGCTAACGCGAGAACCGATACCTCTTAAAATATAATTCGGTTTTCTTCTTTAAATGTAAATGGGCTTCTTTTTGAAGTGCATGGGTGTGCGCACATTTTAACTCTAGCATTAAACTGCTGCTTTTAAAACGTTTTCAGAATGATTGATTCTGCTCAAGCTTATAATGAAGAACACGTGGGCTTAGCTCTGAAGGAAAGTGGAGTACCAAGAGAAGAAGTTTTTATTGTTTCCAAAGTTCATCCTCGTTTTCTAGGATACGAAGAAACACTCAAATCTGTCGAAGAGTCCCTAAAAAAACTCCAGGTACAGATTTGATCTAGCTTCTTGAGGCCCGTTTACAAGCACAAGCGATTTTCGTGCGATGTTTGGGGCGATTGAAGGCGTAATTTCAAATCGGTGGCTGATTTTACCAAAAACCTGTCTTGGGGAATGTGTTGACAAGTTCTGCGGTAAATTCTGCATATAAATTCAAAGCGACGGGAAATAGAAAGAAAATGCAGTTAAATTGCCGGTGGAAACCGGCATTAGCTTAACATTCTTTATTGAGTAGCAGCCACAGATTTGTGTAACCATTTAATCCAGTCACACACTTGAGCGCGATCCGGCTTTTTTGAAGTCTCTCTTGCATTTTTATCCACCGCGTTCAAGTTGTGTAGCTGCACTGTTTTATCAAGCTTGCTTTTTCTTAAATGAATTCTCTTTCTCAGTTTGGAGTTTCCAGTATTTTGGGATCACTTTATTCTATGTTACTCGAAGCTGCTGCATTTCTTTATTTTTTGTCATCTTAGAGGCCTTTTAGTTTTGTCTTTCAACATTGCATTTCAAAGGTAGTTTCTGCTTTTTCCTTTTCCGAGTAGTTTAAAGGTAACAAGTCCCTTTGCATCCCCTTGCAAGTCCCCAACTCAATGCAGGTGTTTGACAGATTCGTTCTGTGTTCTCCTAAACCTTCTTTAGTATTTTTCGGACTTGGCCAATAAGCACATTCCATACTCCCGGTGGGGGATTCCTCTGGAATATTTGGCTGAGTGTGTGCGGTATGCTTAACTAAACGGCGTTATCCTATTTCAGAACCAAATAATTTATGTTATTTTCCCTACCCTATTTAGACCAGAATCCCTGTTCTCAAGAGGCACGTTGTTTAAGAACAATACCCAATTTCAGGCCATGGTCCCAGACAGCACCAAACCACACCCTTTTTCACACCTAAACGGCTTAATTCCATCCCCAGGAAGTGAGGCGACAAACACCGGACCCACTGAGATTTCACCTTGGCTAGAGCTAACATATTTGTCGATAATCTTGTGTTAACTGTTATAGGTCAGCTATATTGATCTGATGTTGATCCACTCCATGGATTGCGATGAGGGACCTGGTGCCCACTTGATTTGTCAGAAGGGAGAACCCAAAGGAACTTGGGAAGATTCATGGAAGGCTCTAGAATCACTGGTTGACAAAGGTAAAAACACCATGTTTTAAATAATTGTTTTCTTTTCGTCTTTCTGCACCACCCCCCCCGCCCCACCCCCTTAAATTTTCTTTTAGACTGAGTGCAATCTACTCAGTTCATTAAAGAGCATTTTCAATTCCATTTTGATAAAAAAAAATTTTCTTATCAGTCTCCCCACGTTAAGGTAATCCAAGCGATTGAGTGAAGAAATAAATTTTTAAAACCGTTAGCGATAAACGCGGATTTCTGCGTGCCAGCAAGTTTCTTTGTTACTATTAGCGGAGCACCATGGGTAAGAAAATTTGGTTATCTATGCATCCCAGAAATTTTGTTAGTCACGTGACCGTAGTCTACCCGCCCACCCGTGCGTCCTTCCGCACCACAGGCATACCAATGTAGAATAACTCAATCAACAGGTATGGCAACCCAAATGCAACTCCAGGTTTTTGGCGCGAAATCGCGTGGCCACCTGGACTTTTAGAGGGAAAATACGGCAACAAAGTCGAGGCTTTGTTTTACACTGACGTGGATAACAGGGAAAGAGCTAGAGCGAAAGATAAAAATCAAAGGAGACGAATTTTGTTGGAAAAACAACGTGAGAATTTTATATCGGCGGTCAGAAAATGAGAAATGCTAGCAGTCACCAAGCTGCAGCCAGCAAGTTAAAAATGAGCGGCAGTGAAAAAATAGCAAACAGGAACACACGCAACAAAATATTTTTTTCCATCAAATGCGTAACTGAGGGGTGGTACCAAATCCCAGTTCCCAGCCAAAGTTTGGTCCAAATCCCAATCAACACTCTGAAATCCCATTCTCAGTGTTTGCGAACTGATGCGCGTAATGAAGTAAATACTTTATTTCAATCACCATAGTTAACTGATCATCGGGGAACACTTACCAAATATAATCAGACACCATTTTGATCTCTGTCACACTCAAACATGCGCATGTTATTCATCCGATAGCAAACTGCTGAAGTAACCAGACCAGCTAACTGGGTGCAAAAAATAAGAAAAACTGGTATGACCCTATGTTTCTACTGAGGTCTACTGGTACAGAATATCATTTCTTTTATTTCAAAAAATAGACTCTTTTGAGCATTTGTATCAAATAATATAGTCGAAGATCGTGAAAGGAGAAAAACTCCTTTCCCATTTGAGAAACTGTTTAGCCCTTTCCAAGTGGTTAAATCCCAGCCCCAGTGCAGTAAATCCCATTTTTCCAGTACATAAAAGTTTAATCTCAGTTCTCATTTTACCCCCTCAGGGCCCTCTTTATATACTTTCGTGGTCTACTTTCAACTTTTTTCAAGCTGAAGCCACGGAAAACTTTTATTTAATGCGGATCATAATTATTCTCGCTGTTTATAAGCTCTTTTTGTTACGTAGGTGTAATCCGAAGTATTGGTGTCAGCAACTTTGAAGTTCAAGATCTACGGCGTCTACTGGAAATTGCTAGTATTCATCCGTCAGTCATTCAGAATCCTTTTGATGTCTTCAGTCAGGATCTCGAAACACGACAGTTCTGCGACAAAAATAATATTCGATACACGGGACACAGGTATACAAACCCTTTCTATCTCTATAAAGAGCTGATTCGTATAATCGCACTTAAGCTCTACCTTTTACTCTTTAAAGTAGATTTAAGAGAGAGAACTGCTATATCGTAATACAAGAAATTCCTAAGTACAGCTAACACAAATGTTACCAAGAAGTGAAAGAAGAAAGAGGCTATTCTGTTACATATTGCGCTTATTAAGTGAACATTTCGGGTAGCATCAAGGTGGCTCGATACGCCTTTACTGTAAAACACGAGTTGCAAAAATCAACCTTTGAAATTCAAACGCCAGTAGTCATAGGTTTGGTTTGTTCCCACTAGCATCGAGGGTCTCTCTTCTGTCCTTATACCAGTTCATGTGTCTCTATTAAAACAGCACTGAGGATTTGGAAATTCCAAGCAGACTCATAAACCTATTCAGGCTAGCCTGTGAACAAGCCCCCAGTCTTGTAAAGCAAATGACGAAGAGAAAGCTAGAAAGCCCGAGGAGATGAGGAGCGGAGGGGGCCTGTGCTACGTCCCACACCATGCCCCTCGGGAGCCTTTTCACCGCCTACTTCAGGTTAATAACCTGTAAGACTCTAGGCTCCTATACTGATTATCATATGTTTAAATTGATAATTTAACATTTATCCCTGAAGAGCCTTATATGGGATGGATGCGACGCTCCTCAACCGGAAGTAAGGCTCTTTACCGTTTCATATACCTTGACGCTACCACATTCGTTTTGCTAAGTGTCTTTACTTTTCTTATCCACACGATGCCAAAAAATTTTGGCGAAAAACAATGCTCAAGAATCAAAAAAGTCCACTTTCGGTTGACTTGCGTCGCTCAAAAACGCCGTTTCTTAAGCTCCCTATTTACACTTGCATAAAATTCGGCACACTAATATGTCAGGAGCCTTGGAAGTTTTTTGTGTTATTCTCTCAGTGTTTAAAATGATACTTGAGAAAGAAATCTGCGAGCTAAGCTCAAACTTTTACCTTCAATTAACAGCACACTTGGAGACTCGTGGAAAAGGGAAGGCATGCCTCTAAACCCCGTACTTTCCGATGAAGGTCTCCGAAAAATCGCCTCCAAATTCGACGCATCTATACCTCAGCTTGTATTAAAGTGGTGTCTGGAGAGTAATGTTATTTGTTTCCCACGTTCTCGCAACCCAAATCACATCCAGACAAACTTTCACTTGTCTCACGTGCGGCTAAACCAGCAAGACCTGGAGTATTTTGAAAGTCTGGATGGAAAAATAATCACTCCCGAAGATGGTCCACCGTTCGATTCTCGTGCAAAGCCGAGCAGTTCCGATCAGGAAATTGCCGAAGAAAGAAAAGCTGCAGATGAAGGCGCAAGTAATGAGGAGAAGAGTATCAATGGTAAAGTCGTCTTAGTAGAAAAGGTTGATCTTAAGGATTCAACATTGTACCTTAGCTCTGATGATCACTGGATTTACGCTTTTGACTCTGCAATGGGAAAATTGAAATGGAAGCATGGCACAGCTGATGAAGGCGGTTCAAAATGCGTCTTCAACTCAGACGGCAATATCGTGTACTGCGCAACAGACGACAATTCACTTCGTGCACTCGACGCCATCGACGGTTCCCTTATATGGAAATTTTCCACCGGCGGAGCCGTGACGTCTTCAACTCGACTTGGTGCGGATGGCGCTCTCTATTTCGGATGTTTGGACGGCTTTTTCTATGCTGTCAACCCTGACGGCTCTTTAAAGTGGAAGCGGAACTTGCGCGAAGAAATCTGGTCATCCCCAGCTCTTCTCGCAGGCGGCAAAGCTGTTTTCATTGGCTCGATGTCCGAGGGCTCAGCTAATGTCTTCTCGCTTAATGGTGAAACAGGGGAGATAATATGGTCGTACGAAACGGGTGGACCTATATTCTCTTCCCCAGCATTAAGCCACGATGGCAACTCTGTGTTTTTCTGCTCCTTTGACGCCAACTGTTATGCGTTTGCTGTCCAAAGTGGGGAGAAACTCTGGACATTCCAAGGGGATTCAAGCTTTCAGTCATCGCCGGTTGTTAGCAAAGCAGATGGCACTCTCTTTATTGGGTCAACAGAAGGGAACATTTATGCTCTGGATTCGACTTCTGGAAAAGAGAAATGGACACGGCAAGGTATACATTATTATTATTATTATTATTATTATTATTATTATTATTATTATTATTATTATTATTATTATTATTATTATTATTATTATTATTATCTTGTTTACCTTAATTTATACCATAATACAACATAATAGCCGAGCCCATTCCTAAGCGGTCAGTGTAAAACGCAGACTGCGGACTGCAGACTGCAGACTGCGGACCAGGGGTAAAAAATGCAGACTGCAGACTAAAAGTAAAACGCAGGCTGGGGTAAAATGCAGACCGAGCATAAACTGTAGTCGTGGAAGGGTTTAAGGGCAAAAAAATCCCGCAAATACATGTAAACGAACACTTACTTGATGACATCTGCTTTCACAAATCCATTCCTTTCTTCTCTGGAACGTCGTCGACGACCCGAAAACATAATCGCAATCCTGAACCTTTTTTCCATCCGAGAGACTTCACGCTTCAACTTTTGATGCGAAGTTTTCGATATACGTCACCAGGGACCTTGAACTGGTACAACACCACGATGTTTACGCTTAAATGAAAGCTGCTGACCCAAAATACTGTACAGGAATTATGGCGATAAAAACGGGAGTAAGTCATTCCAACAATAAAGAAAAGATGTTCTGCAAGAAATTTGGATGACCTTCTATGAAAGTATTGCAAATCAAGGTACGCAGACTTAAGCTGCTTGGATGTTCATTGAAACTTCTGGCGAATGTGCAATTCACTTCGACTAGGAAGCGAAGTGTGTAACTCATACAGGCTAGCTATTTCACCGATTTGAAGAAGAAGGAGCACAAATGTTTAAAAACGTCTACAGTCTTTATTCTAAATTTTACCCTAGCCTGCGTTTTACTCTTAGTCTGCAGTCTGCATTTTACACTCAGTCTGCATTTTACCCCTGGTCCGCAGTCTGCAGTCCGCAGTCTGCAGTCCGCAGTCTGCGTTTTACACTGACCGATTCCTGAGGCCTAGGGTTAGAATGGATGGAGAGTGTCTTTCTTACATGTGAGATGTTCCAAGTAGTGTAATCCTCTGTAGTTCACATTAATACTAGGAGTGTATTGAAAGAACAAAATTTGACTTGTACTCTGATTCCATGTAGAACATTATGTACATTCAGATTTTCTCGATTTAGGAAAGTAAGAGTCAGTGAAAGGAAGTTGTTCTTCTCCAAACCGGCTCGGGCATGTTCTTAGCATGTTCTTTATATACTGGCAAATTTCAGGCTGAACGTTCATATAAAAAAGTTCTTTCAAAGTAAGAGTGTAAACCTCGATAATAGTGGTAATAGTTTAAACAAGTACCCAGTTTTCAAGTTTTATGCCCTTTTGCAGTTACGTAGCTCATAATAGTAGCGGGTGATAAGAATCAGTTTGTTTCACTTAATTAATTTGCCTCAAAGGCAGTTAATTAAATCGTTGTTGTATTAAGTAGCCCCTGAGTTATTTAAGAGGCATGTGACGCTCGTATGCAAAAAATTGCAAAGTGATTAATTTCTTTCGCCAAAACGAAGCAAACGGGTATTTTTTTTCTACGTTTTCTTTTCTGTTTTTCTGTTTTATGATTTATTCTTTTCTTTGTTCACTGGGGTGTAAGGTTTTTGAATATTTAACAAGGCCGGTTTACACTTGGTATATATTTTTGTACGATTGATATGGCGATTTAAGAAAATCGCCAGTATTTCAACCAATTTTCAGATCGGATCCGGTAAGTACCAGGATTTTAGAGTAAGGGGCCCCTTCTTCACCCGTTCCGGCGCAGTGCTTACCCTGCGAGCAGAGTTTTCTTTCTGGCATGGCTTTTAATATTTACGTAGTCGTTCGTGCCGTTTGTCAGTCGTCCCGAGAGATAAAGAGAAACCAACTAGGCGACTCACAAGCGGCACGAACGACTACGTAAATACTAAAAGCCATGCCAGAAAGAAACCTCTGCTCGCACGGTGTCTCGGAAAGGAAAATGACGTATTGTCTTGTGTTAATGTTATTAAATTTCCTCCACTGTAAGTGTCGCTGCCTGCGTAGCTCAGCCGTGATCGTCTAGTGGTTAGGACACTGCGTTGTGGCCGCAGTAACCCAGGTTCGAATCCTGGTCTCGGCATCTTTTTTTTTCCTTCTTTCTTTCATTGTTTTTCTTTTTTTTATCCTACTTTTTCGCTTAAATTTTTTTTCTTTTTTTTTTTTTAATTTTCCTTTAATGCACGTATCATTTTTAGTGTTCTTGGTAGAAATCGAAACTCGGCTAGCTGTTTTGACCGTCAGCAAACAACTTCCGTTCCTCTGTGAATGTATTCTTTGTCAGAACAAACACACGGGGAAAATTCAGAGACTCTTTTTAAGACAAAACGTAAATTAAAATAGAAAAAAATTAAATTTAAAAGGGCGAAACGAGCTGACTAGCGCTTTTCGATCGTGCAAATATAAACCGCAAACGATCGCACGACAGTTTTGTCGCTTACGTCTTTCGGTCACTGTTACTTGGGAGACATTCTGGATGGCCCTGCTGTCTGTGATAATTTCTACAATTTGGCTGGCTTATCTAGTCTTTCAATGGCCAAACACACTGCCTACAAGTTACCTAAAATCTGGAATCTGGAACATGGAATCAGGAGTACAAACTGTATTTACATTTCCTCCCGCGCCATCAATTTGAAAGTTATTTATGCTAAGCATTCGGAAATGAGTGTATACAAGACGTTTATCACCATAGGACAACTTGTACTCGTGCACTCACCCCGCACGCACTAACTTGCAGAACATGCGTTTATTTTTTGGTAATTTTCAGGCGATCCAAGTAACCCCGGAACCCCTCGACGCGCGTGTCTCAAGCTGCATGCCTCACTGGCCTTGCCTTTTGCCTTCGTGCGCTTGACGCGAAACAATATTTTAAAAGGCCTGTCCTGCAGGTTAGCCCCACTCCGGCACCGTTCCTGATTTCTCCCGTGGGTACATGAGAAAATATAGGCTTAGTTTTTTTTTTCCTTTCTTTAAACAGGCAAGGGTGAAATATTTTCTTCACCGTTCGTTGCACCTAACGGCAATGTTTACATTGGTTCTGGAGAAGGAGAGGTTCTAGCTCTTCGTCAGGCTGACGGGGCTTTAGTATGGAGTTTTAAGACGGAGTCATCGGTCTGGTCTACACCTCGTTTGGAAAAAAGTGGCCTCTTGGTCATAGGCGGTATAGACACCTATTTGTACGCATTGCGAGCAGACGACGGACAGTTGGTGTGGAAGTACAAGACAGATGGGCCAGTGGTGGGAACACCGCTGATCACCCGTGAGCATGCAGTGGAACAAGACTAAGACATTTCATTTTAATTAAGTACACCATCATAAGACAATAAATAGACCATTATTAATAAATATGCCTTACAGCTTGTACGCATTGCTGTCCAAGTTTTGATTATACCTTCCTCATTTCCCATAATGCACTATATTTGCCCCCCAAAATTTTGCTTAACCTTTGTTTTTCATTTCTCCTGGGCCGGGTAGTTGGAAGCTGGGTTAAGATAACCCAGGGTTACTACAAAATTTTAACTCAGATATGGGAGCTTAAAAAGGCAAATTCAGTTTAATTCTCTTTGCTTACAATTTGATGATTGCCGTACTCCAAAAAGAATAGAAAAAATTATCCGAGAGAGTGCTTTTGATGAAAAGAAAAAGAAACGCGGGTTAAAATTTAACCCGGGGTTAGTGCAAACCGGTGTTCGAACAACTGGGCCCAGCGTACTACAGCCGCGTCCCAAGAGAACTTGAAAACAATACTTATTCAAAATTTTGGGGGGCAAATAGGGTGCATTATAGGAAATGTGAAAGTGGCCTATATGCCGATACTGAAAAAAGTACTATCTTTCAAAACTGTCGCAATATTTATTTCCAGACTGGCAACTGAAGGATTAAATCTCCAGAAAATACCGTGTGATCTTCAATGGGTCAGCAAAACATACAAGCGAATATAAAGGTCGACAGTAAACGCAGTGCGAGAAAACACATTTTAGTCGCAACACAAGTAACAGTAAGGAACTGGGTTTTTTTGTAGCTAGGGAAGTAGTTTTAGGTGTGTTTACATAACTATACTGATTTGGCGTGTTCGGTTTTCAGCGGAGCTACACGGGAGTGAAATTCCCTCCCTCAGCTCTAGGTCCCACCCAGAAAATCGCTGTGGTCGTATTACTAACTACCCCCTAAGCTAAGCTGTCCCAGCTTGGCTTAGTCTACTGTTTAATCATTTGTCCCATACCCTAATACAATTGAACATGAATAATGTGTAAATCATGAGCCCATGTTAAATGAAGATATGATCGTCGCAGTGTCCTGAGCAATTGCAAATTAACCCGAAAAAAAGTTCTGTACTTTAACGGGATTCGACCTAATGGCCTCTGCGTTAGCGTCGCAGTGCTCGGAGACCCAGGGGCAGATAGTAGGGGCGAGGGAAAGGCTAAACGGTGCGGAAAATATGGCACGAAGAAAAGTAAAGAACGGCGAGAAGAGCGCATTGAGTTCATCTGGTTGAATAGACTGAATAGATTTCTTTTCCAACCAATGCACCCTGTTTCCCTTAAGAAAGTGTCTCCCCTTGTGACTTCCCAGTACCATATAAGCCGGGCATACAAGAAAGTTAGACGAAGGGCAAAGAGCGCTTATTCTTGCTAGTTTGTCCGGGAGAGTGGACGCTTATAACACTAATAATAGCATGGAATACTAAAACTTGTTGCTTTATGCTTAGCTGTGAACGAAAGTGTAAATTTAAAACGAAAAACGCTCATTTCCTCCAAAGAAATTAAATAAATGTATTTTATCTTGCCGCGAGTATCCAAGGAGCGTACGTTATCTGTTGAGGGGGGCAAGGAGGCGGTATCCCGGGACAAACGGGGACGGGGGCAGGGCAACAGGAGATGGGAACAAAGTCAGGTACGGGAGTAAGGAGTGCAGGGTACGGGAAGCGCAACATTCCGATCCACCAATTCATCTACCAAATTTAAGTCTTTGAAAAAGGTTATACCTTAAAATTCCATACACAAAAAAAAGTTAGGACGACTTAGCATATCGAGCTTATCATTCTAACATGATGAGCAAGGAGACTGATATTAGCTTACCGTATTTCCTGGAACAATAGCCGGAGGTGATTACTTTTTTCTTTCGCGCTAAAAGGGGGCGATTTTTCGAGGGAGGCGATTATTTTCAGATATTGTTCACTAGAAGTCTTACCCTAAATATTTGGTTCTATTTTGCCATCAAATCAAAAAATAATCACATCAAAGAAACTGAACATGGGCTTTTTAAGTGTTCCACATTTGGGCCTTGATTAATTTTCATTGTCAATATCCTCGGTGTCATCTGATCAGTTTTGCTGGATTATCCTCCAGATTTACGCGATTAATCGAGGGACGGCTGTTATTCGAAGAAATACGGTATGTTGAGCGCTTGCCATTGCCCTGTTATTGATCATGCACTCGGAAGACCTGACAAAGCTTCACAACTAAGAAACTCTTGTCAACATTTCCGTTAAAAAGAAGAATTAAGGAAAACTTGATCATAAAAGGGGATTTTTAAAAAACCGCCGAGAAAAAGTTCTGCTAAATGACAGTTCTGTAACATGTTGCTCATTCAAGCACAACAAACAATTTTTATATAAATTGACTGGTTGGACAGTCGACGTTAAAAACGTAGCCTATGAATTCCCGCCCAGGCCTTCAGCAGAATTACTATGACCAACGAGACAAAATTAAACGAAAGAAATAGGATAAAGTTTTCCACGGCTTCGCCGTCGTTTGCTGGAGTCCCACGCCTAGCGGGTGCGTGTCGAAGCAAGTAAATGAGACTCAGTCGAACCTCTCCTTGCTACCACTCTCGTAAGCGACCAGCTCTAGATACCACCGCCTTTGTGAAATCCCGTTTGAACTGTAACCAATACTTTGCAATTATAATGAAAAGCTCTCCCAAGCGTCCGCGACGAATTTTTTCTGATTACCCAGCTGGACTTTTCCTTTGTTTTCAAGCTCTCATAAGCGACCACTCAGAGTCTCTTCATACAGTCGAAGTTAAGTCAACTGGAAAATATCGGCACACAAATAAATGTTTTACAGGACTCTGTGGATCGAATAAATCAAACGGTCGCAAACCTTCAAAGCGAATTCCACCGCTTAAAGGAAGACGTACGAAATACAGTCGAAGAAACAAATACGCTTAAAACAAGCGTAAAATTCCTGAATGATGAAGTGGAAACCAGTAAGAGAAAACTCCGAGATGACGAAGAGAAGTCACGACAGGAGTTGGATCACTTGCGTCTCCAACT